CACTGTCCTAGCGGAGCTGCGCGCGGGCCGGGAGGGTCCAGCTCCAGCATCCGCGTTGCGCCGTCGCGGGAGTTGCGACGATGCTCCAGATCCGGAGATGTCGTCGGTGTCTACCTTGGACCGCTCCAGCGTAATGCGGATGGGCCATCTCCTCTTCGTAGTCGAGGTCGGAACTGGAGTCACTGCCGGAGCTAGACATCGGAGTGGATGAGATCTGAATCGGAATCAAAGATTGAGCTAGGGTTCGGAGCAAGGCGTCCGGACTCGAAGTTTCGTGGGACTGCGATGGGGTCGGTGGTGCACCGGTCCTGTCAGGCGAACAGGGCTGGGCGTGCCCGGGCCGTCTCATGTCCACCCTATATTTGGGCTGGATATGAGAGGTGTCGGTTAGCCCGGACGTTTGTCCGTGGTTTGAGAAGTTCGACTAAGTCGTTTACTTTTGATTGGTCAGTGACCGGACGGCTTATCCACGTGTTTGAAACGGATATGAAAAGTCCTGTTGTAGATGCTCTAAACAATTAGTATTATTTCCTTTTCGGCCGAGACATTTAAGGCCAATTTTTGTTGTCCCTAACTGTACAAATGGTGCTTTGGTTTGACCATTCAAATAATTGCGGGCTCTCTTTTCTTTTCAATAAGTGGTGCAACAAATCTAACAAGTCACTGTCAAAAATACAACTAATGAGCCATAGTACAAAACAATCACATCTGTAAATATCCACATCACACATGCTCTTATCTGTTTCACTAGTCTCGCGATATTGGCAACCACGGCAACAACTCGAACTAAAAGATAGACACGGAATATGCTAGACGCTACAAAGTTTTTAGTATCTCCTATGAATTTTCCCTCGATTAAAAGTTATCTCGTACGAATTAAAATAATATCTTTTCCACTACTCCAAAAGTGGTCGTTTTAAATCTCTTTCATAGTCTCACAAATGCAACTTCGACTATTATTACTTTTTACATATGTATATAAAACTAAAGGATATTTGGGGGACCCAATGAATTTTCGTAATTAATAACGAGCAAGTAAAGAAATGATATGTGTCTCGTATTTATTGATTGTCAAGCATCGGCGATTCCCCGTCCCAGTGATGCGTCTAGTTTCGTTGGAGGGCATGTGGAGGTGCGTCTCCGTTGGATCTCGCAGGATTTGGTCTATGTTGGTCTTCGGTGGATTCATTTGGATCCGATCTTCGTTCGTTTTTGTTTGGTGTTTACAGGTTTGATTCTTCTAATCTATGACTTTCTTCATCGATGATGGCCGGTGCTTTGATGTGCTAGTCCTATGTGGGCTTAGAGCATCTACAGCTGGGCGCCTCAAACGCGCCTCATACGTCCGGGCGGGTCGCCCCGTCATTGTCCGGTCATAATTTTTTGACCCAGGCAGCCCCCTTAAACGCCCGGGCTGGGCGGCACCCCTGATATCCAACCCAAATATGGGGCGGATATGGGGCGCGTGGGCACGCCCGCCACGTCGGACCCGACCCACACTGGCCCACCTGACCCCACATAAATATCTCCACATCCGCTCGCCTGACCAAACCCTAACCACTTCACTCCCCAGGCCTCCACTCCCCTCCGTCACCCAAGCTCATCTCTGGCATGGCGGGCAGCGGACCCGAGTCCTTGCCTCCAGATCCGTCGACCCCGAGCTCATCCCACGTGGTCCCGAGGAGGAGATGGTTGTCCGGCTTGCGCTCTGCCGCGCCCCGGAGGAGGCCCATGCACGGCTGCGCTCGGACTCCATCTGTCAGGAATCCATTGTGTTCACCCAAATGGCGCCTGGATCCGGCGCTAGGCCAGCCGTAGCTACCTCGCCAGAGGCCATGTGGTCCGTCTGGCGTCCGAACGCGCTAGCGGACGCGCAACCCCTTCGTTGGCGCGCCGAGCATCGGGATGTACCATGGGCCTCGTCCGACAAGGCCATGGCACGGCGTGCCCGCCGTGCAAGGCACCGGGCACGGGAGGCAGCGGCATCCATCGCGGCGGTGGACGTCGGCGAGGCGGAGTCGCATTCTCCGGCGCCTCGTATTGTGCATCAGTTTGGGCGTCGCAATCGCAGCGTGGTGGACGGCGACGGCTCGTCCCCGAATGGATCCGTCATCGATCTGACGTCCATCGGCACCCAACGGGTTTCGAGCTCCGACGAGAAAGAGTAGGGCATGGGAGGCGGCGGCGCCTTGAGTCCCGTGAGCTGGTTCGTGTCCCATGCCCTACTCTACCTTGCCGGCGACCGGACCAACACTCTGACGAGCGCAGCCGGACGAGCGGGGAACGGAACCGGACAAAGCTCCGCTCTAAACCACTGTGTTGCATGCAGTAATATGGATTTGTGATTTCTAATTTGAGGTATCCGGATGTGGAATGCATTTTTGAGGCGTGACTGGTCATTGTCCGCGGACGCGCCCGGGCGCGTCCACGGGCGTTTGTGGGGTTGGATTTGCCAAGTCCGGCTGTAAATGCTTTTAGCACGTCGACTTTTCGATTATCTAGTACAACAATGTTTGCCCTGATCTGGGAGGGGATGGACGATGACACCGGCATGTCTTCATCTTGCCCCAGTGCTTGTAGTCGTCGCTCGGTGATCTACGGATCTTGTTGTAATTTTATCATCTATGGTGTTCTTTGTATTACTATAATTGAGAATAAATAGATTGGAAGTTTTTCGAAGAAAAAAAACGTCAACGATTCCCAAAAGGGAAGGACAAAATATGTGGTTTCCCGAAAGTTAAGTTTCTTGTCCTCCACTGTTATACCGATTATGTGATAGGACTGTGCGTATTAAGGAATTGGCACTATTAAGAGTGTTATTAAAGGTAAATGAGAATTACTAGTGTACAAACCATCCACCTTGTCGCCCAAAACCCCGATGCCAAAATCCAAATCATCTAATTTTGTCGGGCACTGACTGGACACCTCTCAAATGTTGCACTGCACATTCACATATCTCAAATTTGAATTCTTAAATTCATGCAATCCATGCACGTCGATCATACGATACGAATTGTCTAAATTCCAAAGTTCGAAACAAAGCAAAGCAAATCATCATGTGCGAAATAAACTAGTGGTCTATGCAAAAATCTGACCAGACAGGAGCAAAGAAAACGCACAGACTCTTATTCGGTCATTTCGTCGAACATGTCGAGGGCAGCCCGGACACTCCCGATGCCCGTGCTCATCTGCGCCCGATGGAGCTGCGGCGAGTCACATACATCGATCGTCGGCATCTGCGTGGGCAGAAAGCTCTACGGAATGGCCCAGTTGGCTATCGAATCATCCTCTGTCCCAACAGGGTCGGACGGCGTAATCTGCATCGGCGCTCGGATGGAAGGGGTGCGGGGATCCGGGCACGGCAGAGGAGACAGCTGCTCCAGCATGTCCCAACCTTCCTGCGACGCCACTGTCGCCTCCCTCTCTCACTGTCGGCGTCGCCATAACTTCCGGGCGACGTT